TAATACCATTGAGCTTTAGTTTTTCTGGCTTCTTGTGTGGATGCTGAAGCCCCGAACCTCAAATTTACACTCAGGAAATAAAGTATGTTACTGTACCTGTAGGGCTACAGCAGCTTGTCCCTTAGCCCTCTTTGAGTCTCTACCCACTAAAGGCTTTATCCATCTTAGATCTACAACCAGCTCAGGAACTCTGTTACCTCTACGTGCATGAAAACCCATCGACGTCAGGGAGAACAAAGGCCTCATACATAACCATCCCCTAACGGATACAGAACAAAAACGTATCAGATAGCATCAAATAATTTCATTAAACAGCAACACCTTAATGATGCTTTAGTAAAGCACAGCTGTGCAGTGATCAGTACTGTCAGCTCACAGCAACAAAGTCCTGGCTGAGCATCCACTGACCAGCTGGGGCCTTTGTGTGGAGTTTGGCTCTTCTCCCCATGCTGGATGGCTTCTCTGGATACTCCTCCTAATGTTCAAAGAATTGCATGATATGTCTGTGAAGGTTCTCAGTCATCCAGGTCATCGTAGTCAAAGGAGCTTGCAAAGAAAAGCATGATAGTGACAGGTGATCCCTAATTAGCTCAAGGTTTAAATGTGAGTGTCATTGGGTATAACAGATTGATCAACCTGTCCAGGGTGCATCCTGGATCTTACCTTGTAACAGCTGGGCTCTCGGCTCCAGCAGGCACAGTGCTGAAGCAGCAGACGATGGGTGGATGGATTTCTGTACGGCTCTAGTGGATTGTGGGTTTTAGACACAGAAATTGTCCAACTAATTTTGACTGCGTGGGAACATCGTCCCTTGAAACGTACATGCACGTACCTCGAGGTCCAATAATTAGGCACGCCTTGGGTTAAATGTATGTAGATTGGACCAGCAGGTAAAGAAAGAAAACTGTACTGTGCATCTGTTTTCTTTCTACTTGTTTGTCTTGTTTTTTAATTTTTATGACTTTTTAATTGATAAGGGAAAAAAATCCAATGCACAAATTATTGATGAAGATAATTAATTTGTACTTTTCTCTGTCCTTTAAGAACGATGTGTAAAATGTGTCTCTAACGGTTACACGCTCATGCAGAATATTAATATGAGCTCTCGTAAAGCGCATATCAAAGCGCGTTAGCTTCTATGTCCACTGGGTATCTTCTGAAAAACAAATGCTAAACAGATGCTGAGGGGAACTGTCATGCGTGACTCCTGTTGTTGCTAAGCAACTACCGGTTGAAATGTGGCACTCTTTGGCTAAAAGTTGTAATATTTTTAACCTCAAGCACTAGCTGCGCTCAGCGCCAAAATCATGCTAATCTCTCAACTCTGACGGGACGGTGCAACAAGGTTCCCAGTTGGAGCTTCTGAGGAATGGATGCCAGTAAACGCATCGCCTCAGAGTTGGATTATGATTTATAAACGTCTCTTACTACAGGGAACTTTAAATGTATACCGTATTTTAAACATCGTCTTGTGCACTCGGGTCCAAACTGCAGGCAGAACACAGATGGATCCATTATTTTTACCCCTGAAGGGAGCATCTGTAGTTTCACTCCCTCACGCCAGTTTTTAATATGCAAGTATCATAGTTGGTAACTTGTATGAGATAACTGTATCCACATTTTGACTTATTAGTACATTTTCAGAACCAGTTCATGTTAATCCCTCTCATTGAAGGTGTATGGCTTCGATTGGCCGTGGTATCATTTGTGTGCTGGGAGACGGAGGTGTGCTGGGAAATCACCAGCTAATATTAGCTTTGTCTTCTGGTCCTATTTAGCCTAACTAGCTTGCATCTGAACAGTGCAAGTTGCTGGTGGTTGTCCTGATTTATTTTAGTCAAAGAATGCATGAAAATGGGTGTTTCTGCTGGTGTCCACCACAAGTCTGATGCATTTACTCAGCTGTGAGGTGTAGAGTCCTTCATCTCCAGCCTTCTGAAGTTGTTATAATCAACCAACTCACTGTATTTAGGTCAAAAGGATCATGCTTCAAGGCAACGATAAGTCAAATAACCACTCAAATAACCAAGGGAAGCATCTTTGATTGAACAATATACCAAACCTTGAATCCAGAAGACCCCACTGGGAGTCACACCTGTCAGCAAAAACCAGGAAACTGATAAAACAATTTTCATGGGCTCAACAAAAGAAGATTGTAAAAACGTTCCCCGGTGTGAGTCTCAAATTCTGATGGAAGAAGTTGTTGTAAACAGCATGAATGCATGAATCCATCCTACAACAGTAAAGATGCTAACAGCGGCATGTTTCCTTCCTGTTCTGCAGGCAGGTGCACAGCCCTCCCCTCACGAGCAGCTGAAGCCGTCGCAGTTCAAATCTCTTTTAGAGGGAATTTGAGAAGTCTGAGCTCTAAAGAACGTTTCCAGCACCTTGGTGAAGCTATGTTATAAAGAACTGAGGCAGTTCTCAACATCTTTCAGGGTTAACGAACTCAGAGCGTTCATAAATGTGTGTTTCAGCACATTTACAGTGAAGCTGCGTTCACACATGTGTACGTAGATTCAAACAAACTGAGAACTAACAGGGACAACCAAAGCGTCCCGAGGCTGCACAGTGCCCATGTCTGCTCAGGGCTTCAGTTCATCTAAAAACGTTCTCTGCCAGCTCACATCAGCAGAACAGCAGAGAAACCATGCGGGCAGGTTGCCAGTTGATAGCAGAGCTGCTTCAGCTGTGTTCACCTAACTCTGGTGTATTTCAAGTTAAGGTTCTCTAAAACAGCTCCACCTCCACTACGACCGGAGTTATATAATGGAGCTCATCTGTACATAAACCCAAGACTGATGGAGAAAGGCAGAGAGATTGTAGCCGGGCTCACTGCCCTCCTGCTGTCAGCATATGTTTGCAACTTGCTCATGCATGTATAAGCACCTACATGTGCATTATGGAGGATTCTATGTGTATGTGTGCATATAATATATGAAATCTTCGTTATAATGTGTAACCATTGTGTGTGTGTGTGTGTGCGTGCACGCCTCTGCACAGCCTAATTTCTGCCCATCTCGCTGTTCTGTCAAGAGCTGAATAGACATTTAACCCTTCTCTCTGCTGCTGAAGCCCTGCAGGGCAAAATTAAAGTGCTAATTATAGCATGCTATGGGAGAAGCAGGTTCCAGTGTTCTTGTGTTAGATGCACATGAGCTTTTGTTTCGTCTTTGTTTCTCAGTTGCCGTATGATTTCTTCATACATGAATTTATTGATGCACTGTACAGTCTAATCTGTTGTCA